GCCGGGGCCCTCCAAACCGCTGGACGCGAGCGTCGACGACCACTACGAGTTCGACACCATCTTCGCGGGCACGCCGTCGCCGTCCACGCCTCGCATGACTGAGCCCGAGCCTCCCGGCGAAGGCCGCGGCATTAGCGACTCGGAGATCTACGCCGCTTCGTTCTATCCGCCCCGTCCCAAAAGGCTGTCCAAATACGAGAACATCGAAGCTCGCGTCCAGGCCATGAAGGAAGAGTTTCACGAATTTCGGAAACGCCAAGCAAAACGCAGGCGTAGCGAAGAGCTGGAAAGTGCCTGCTAAGCGGACTGTCTGCTGTGCCGGCTGTGCTGTCCCATACCGATTCCAGCATTCACTCTGTGATACGGATGCACTGTCGCTTGTTGCTCTGAAACTATTCTGAGAAAGAGTTAGCTGTGAGCAATGCCTTGATCGTTCCAGCTCTTGCAGCCTCTTTTAAGGGGAGTCAAAAGAACTAATATATATTTAAATATAACCATTCTAAAAATTTGTGTCCCACACCATGTAACAGCCCCTATATCCATTGTCAAGACTTTGTTCCAGTAGCTTTGCACCTCTAAGACTTTTCCTTCATGAGACTTCAAACTGAATCAAACGATTCAGTAGAGCATTATTTCTCTCGTGCTAATCAGTAAGATAATGCCAGAGAAGATTGCTACAGTATGAAACAGAAACAAGATTTGTTTTTCTAAAACTCTGACTGTTATTAACATACTTCTGTCTCTCATAAATAATTGAAAACCATCACTAGGCCTATCTAGCTAAAGCACTAATTATTAGGGATGATTAGTGTGTAAAACAGACCTTTGCAGCACTGAAACATTAGTGCAGTTACAAGCAAACAGTGCTCAAGAGAGGAAGAGAATGGAGATATGCAGACTGAGTTTGCTTGCACCACATGAAGTGGAGCAGGTCTTAAGTGTCCTCAGCCACAATATTCTGTTCAGACAAATGCATATTGCAGTACTACAAACTTTTAAATTTGTTAGAATGAATTTCAATATATTTCAAATCCATGAAAACTAAAAACATGAATACATGTTATTACTAAAATGAATGATTTAGAAGTGAGTGTCTTGTTATGCATTTGGTAGAAAGTGTTTTTTTGAGTGGGCATGAGGAGCATGCCAGATTGTGCGTTGCTGCATAGAAGTTTCTCAAAAATATTACTTAAATTAATTTAAAAAAAACAAACAAATAATATAATTATATTGAAGAGTTTAATAATTATGTATCTTCTAAATTAAGTATAAACTCCAAAGAGAACAAAATAATACTATGACAAAGAAATATTAATATAATAATATATGCATTTATTCACACACTCCATTGCAAAAATCTAAAAAAGTATATATAAATAATATAATATATTGTTCTGTTTCTGCTCTTAAATACAAGGTGATGCACAGAGCTCAAATGTAGAAGACATTACAAAAGAGAAACAGTTTTATTATCAAATGCTCGAGCAATGAAAGTGTGTGTGTTGAATGGAGATAAGTCAAGAAGTTGATGTTATCTCTTGTAATAATTCTAACGCTTTATCATTTTCTCTTTCTTAAACACAGAGAAATGAAAAACGAAACTTTTTCAAGCAGGCTGTTGCAATAGATGATTATTATTAGAGCTATTGCAGAAGTTCATGTAATAATTAATATGTTGAACTATTATTTTGTGTCTACTGGCGTTCATTTTGTTTTTGAAATGATTCTGCCTGTTTTGTTGTTTTTAAAGTTTTTAAGTTTTCAAAGTACAAAGAGAGTATAAAGTGGAAGCATGTGATAACTAAAATTTTTTATCAATATTATTATACTCATTATTACTTTGTATATAATTTAGCTGTCTAGTACAATGCACGCCCTCTTCATGTTAGCATGAGCAAGATGAGGGGGAAGAAGAAGCTAACATTTTGTTCAGTCACATGCAGTCAGGACAGAAACACTTTGTATCTCTTACCTACTTTACCTTACAAGTAACAAACATTGAAGTCCAAATGTAAAATCTGTGATCATTCAGCCAAAATTATTGCAATAATTATGATCCTCTGCATTGGAAACACGCAAGAATACAAAATAATATTTTTTATGGACGATTCATTTTCACTATATTGGCAGTGTTTCATAAGGAGGAGAACTGGGGCATTTCAAGAAGCTCAATATTCTAAAGCAAAACATTAATATATTTTAGTGGATGTAGTAAAACATTAAAATCAATGTTTGGTGGGTGAATTTGTATTTCAAAATGTTGCTTGTCATCACTAGTCTACAAGCAGAGTACTGCTCAAAACAAAAACAAACTAACATTATTATTATTATTGTTGTTATTATTATTAATAATATTATTATTATTGTTATTAAGTGTGTTTGTAACAAACAACACTCAACTTGCATGTAATTTGATGGTATTAATTGAGATTTTCAATTTGCATTCTTCTGTATGGGCAATCATTGGGTATTATTAAAATTATCACCTAGAATGAAACCATGGCAGGTATGGCTTTGAAAATATGGAGATTACAAGATGTTTCTTTGACTGACTGCATATTTGTTCAAGACTTGCCACACAATTCTAAAATCTATTTTGTTGTTTTTGTTTTTAATATTATTTCTGAGATGTTGAAAAAATAATTTTAAGCTAAAAACTAAATCTATAATTTAAATCTTGATATGCCAGATTGGTTCTGGCATCTTTGTATGATCATGTCAGTCTCAGTCAGTGTGCTATGTGTTCACATAAACATCTCTCCTCCACAGCGAGGGCCAGGAGACTTGTAGTAAATACTAGCAGATATTTCCTTAATGTAATGGCACTTCACTCACATCATAAGAACACAACCAGTATACAAGTTTTTGTGAGGGTGGGGAGGGATGGCAATGAAAAGGAAACTTGAAGTGAACAGTGTGATATCGGATTTGTCACAGAATCTGGTAGGGATGGGCACTTGAATAATCCCAAAACAACCTATGCTCTGATCATTTGCATTGAAATACACAGGCTTTTTGCAATTTTCTCTTGGTATCCCTACTAAATTCAAGCAGAGAAACTGCATTAATTTGTGACAGACTTCTGTTACTTTGTTAAAGTTTTGCAATAATTATAAATATTATAAGCTCATAATTGCATAATTCTAAAAATTCAATAATAGTAATTAAAGAACTTGATATTTGAATTCAATAATAGTGAATTTTAATGAATCAACAGTACAATAATATTTGGAACTATTGTCAAGTTTCCCTGGGAAAATAGTAATTATTCATCTCTTTGAAAAGCAAAGCAAAATAAGTCAAACGTAACTAATGTTTTAAAAATGAAAAAAATACACATTAGCACACTGGTAATTGTTCAGGCAAGGGACTTACAAATTATTAATTCAAACAGAAATATGAGTCACAAGGCACAATACTAGTTACAAATAACTTATTACTTCCAAGCCAAAGATATCTTTCACCTTATATATAAATATATAGATTTAACAAAAATACAAGAAACCAAGTCAGTAAGAATTATAAGGCATAAAATTATTGGCATAATATGAATTACAATTTGCTTGTCTCATTTGTCATTTGGTTATATTCTTTTTAATGAAATATATGTATTTAGAGTAGATCTTTTCTCTTGTGTGGAGTAGAAGACTGATAATATTATGATATGTTGTTGAAA